AGAATTTACACATTTTTTCCAGAATGGCATTGGATATAAGGGTGAAATACTGTATTTGTTTTATACATACTTTTTAACACCCTGAGATGCCCCTCATCACACTTCTCATTCTGTCAGCATTGTGGCAAAATGATGTCAGTCTATGCCTGTACTTGTACGACTGGTCTGACTCAGTCAGTGCAGAAGGCGGTTGCAAGATTCAGCTGCTCCTCATACCACAGAAGAACATACAACAAGGTGTGAAATACCTCACTCAAATTTAACCATACAGCAGACCTACCAGTTCACAGAGGCTCTTACCTGATAGTTGTTTTTCACCATATTCTTTCTTTTTCATCAACATATTTTTTTAAGTGTGTCTCTTGAAAGTGTCATTTAGGAGAGACTCCAGTAGGTGCCTCAATAACTGCATGTTGAAGGTGCGTCCTCCTGGTGGAATGCTTAGTTTTCCACTCTTCCATCATATAGCAGATATTTCCCTAACCATGAGAACACAGGTGGGAGAACATGCCTCCGTGTTCTTTGCGCAGTGGAGATACATCTACATGACATTTTCATGTCTGGTCTTGCATCTCCCTCACACGCTCTGCTCGCTTTGCAGAAGGATGCAGATGGTTAATCTCATCACTCTGTGCATCTCATTAGTTGGCATGCTGGATACCACAGACCTTTCAGTACCAAGAGGTGCGGGCTCCAGCCCAGCGGGTAAGTCCTCCCGGAGAGATCCATGAGCTCTCTGTAGCTCTGCCCAATGGACCTGCGACTTAGCACGTGAGCTGGATAGTTGCGTGTCCATCTGCGATTGGTTCAAGACAGTTGTCACAGTCATCGACTGATGGCGCCTTTTGCCTGTTGTATTTCACTGCATGCAAAGGGGATTGGTGAGTGTTCCTCCTCTCAACAGAGGACTTGTATGATATGGTTGTTAAATGCATGTGTGGGAGAGCGGACAGCGTTCACACAGCACGGTGAGTGCGCTTGAAAGGATTAACCAGGTGAGGTAATTGGCCGTCCAACTGTCTTTGGCAGCAGGACAAACACAGCGTTTCATTTAACCTCTGTGAGGCCCTCCCTTCTCCTGTTTCCTTCCCTCTATTGACAGGTGCATCTGACCCCCCCCCCAAACCCCTCTACCCTGGCAGCCCTTAAAAGGCTAGAGAGGGTCTGTAAGATGCCTAGACCAGCATAACCCTGTCGGTATTCGGGCCATGACATCCCACTAAGTCCTCCGGTACACAATGACCGGACAGCCTGTCATGGCTGCAATGTGCCGTGTGAGAGGCGGAGGCAGGTGGAGTTTTAACTCTCTCCTCGTGAGCTCACCGTATTCCATATAGTATTTCTGACACAATGCAGAATTTAGTTACGAAACCGCGTGACATTCGATGATGATAAGCTGAAGGCCACAGGAATATAAGGTTAAGGGGATATTTGATGAGGTATTGATTCGAAAGTATGACGAGCCCTCCCATCTCAGATTGGTTTACAGTCAGCAATTTAAAGGGAGCGCTGGGTGAGTTTTAAGTTTTGGGGTGTGGTTAGTTCCCCGGGGGGCAGAGTGAGTCCTCTGCCAAGGCGTTTGGCACGGTGTGATCATGCTGCAGCTGTTGTTTGTACCAAGTGTGTAGAACAGCAGAGGCTACAAGGAGGCGAAGCCCCGCTGTCAGATGACCATTCCTGACATAGCTCTGATTTTTCACATGTAGCAGTTATGACCGCAGCAGGAGCTTTTCAAAGTGGCCAAATGGAAGATTTTGGCTGTGTGACGACTTCTCTCCTGTTCAACAGTGGCCTCCATACAGAGAAGCTGGAGTGCATGTAAAATCAAAAAGGAAATTAACCCTTTTTTATTTCCCACTGAACCACTGGGTCTGTTTTAATTGTTGGATCTGGACAAGTGATTATTTAGTTATTAGTTGATTGTGAGGATTGTCTGTTTTGCAGGAATGTAGATGTGATGGGGAACATTGCCGGAGACAAACACATTTCTGTTATTAGGAGAATAAGCAGTGTATTGTTGTTCTTATCTAGCGGCTGGTTTAGATAAAAGCTCAACAGCTACTATACTTTCAAAGGCTCATTTTGCTGTTTGTGTGTGTGTGTTGCGTGAGAGGGCTCTCTGTTATGCAATATGTCTGCGAGCTGTACACATCCCTTCATTAATATTGGAGCGTTACAAGCTTTTGAAACACCATTACAAAGCATGTTTGTATGTTCGGTGCTTCACATCTGACAGCGGAATAAACAATAATGTTGTGGCACCAAGTCTGTGTCAGTGCAAATTTTACTTTTAGAAAGTTGTTTCACTTCATTTTTGCTTTTCGATTTTCTTAAGCTGACATTACGCTGGAGTTCTTGCTTTTTCATGTCAGCTATTTCTATTAGATTTTTACATGTAATCCATACAAATATCCAGTCTTCTGGATCAAAAAATAAACAGCTGACCTCCAAGTTGAACATTCATAACATTGACTATTCACATCAGGCTTAAGTTAACTTTAGGAGCAGCACATGCCAACAACAAGAAACTCCCTGACAGAACATACAGGGAATAAAACTGCCACTACCTCAAACAGGAGATGAGGAGGGCGGCCATTATGCCTGGCGAGTAGGTTATGCTGGGGGTCTCCAACAGTCCAAAGACATGGGGTTAGGTTAACTGGAGACTCTAAATTATCCGTAGGTGTGAATCTGGCGACCAGTTCAGGGTGTACCCCACCTCGCTCAATGTCACCTTGGATTGGCCCCAAGTCCCTGCTTCGACCTGCAAATGATAAGCGGTATAAATAATTTTATAAAGCTATATTCAAAGTTGGACGATGGTGGTGAATCACTAGCTAAATAAAAAAGCAACAATGTGAGCATGCTGCCAGTTTTTGTACAGTCTGCAGTTTTTAGGAAAAGAGTGAGGGGCAAGTACGATCATTTAACAAATCCCTGTGTGCACATCCTGACCTCAGTTTTCTGAGACACAACAATAGGATTGTGCGCAGCCTCTACTATTAGAAACCTGTGCTAAGAGACCTCTCATTCATCAAGCCATGTTCTCTTTTGCCTGAGCCTGACACACGTGGGATGTTGGGGCATAATAAGTCAGTGTTTTCCTTCCCCGAACTTAAAATGAAAAACTGAACGTTTCAGTTGTAAACACAGGGCCTTATGTAACGCGTCTTCCCAGACCGTGTTAATAATTCAGGACAATGAACAGAAACCAAACAGCTTTCAACGTGCACAGTTTTCAGCCAGAGAGGATTTATTGGCACAACCATGAGAAAGTCTGGATATAGAATGAGGACAGACGCAAGAAAAGCCCACTGAAATGAAAAGCTGGCTCTTATTTTGTTAAACCCAAGTATTTTGTGCAGACATGTGTTTCCACATCTTGGCAGTTATCTCAAACAAGTCTCATATTTAGACATCGTCAGATATCTGAAGTCATAATCAAAGGTACATTCCAAAGATATGCAAGTCAGGTGGGTCGATCCAAGTCGAAATCAGCCAAATGAAGACAGCACTGAGCGTAGGTCTTTGTGTCAAGGGAGACACACTGGACACTGTGTTGGTATAGACCCCAGGACGACGTAAATGGCTACATTACTGTTGTACTTTAACAAAAGCATAAAAAAGAACTATGAAAAATGCAGGTAGGACACAGAAACAGATGTATTTGATTGAATAACTACAAAGAGCCCAAAAAATAATGTGTACAAGATGCACAGACGTGGACTTGCCCATTCACATATAAAACATTTGCTGGAAGTTCACCAGTTACTTGGAAAAAGACGGAGAGATGAGGGAAAAAAAAGGTTTCTCATGATCAACTTCAGGTTTTTAGCATGCCTTTGTTTTCACCGCACAATTTATTTTAAGATATTTTTTGGGGGCATTTTGCCTTTATAGATAGGACAGTATGAGTGAAATGGAGCAAGAGCGAGAACATACACATTTATGTGAATCCTGCATTTAAAGATGTGTAATTTAAAGGTGTAAACAGATGCATATACCCTGTTGTAATTTATGTCTTTTTTTAGCTTTGTATCTGTGTTACCTTGACATGTCTTGATGATGTAATCCCATGTGAGAATGGCCAAATGTCACAAAAACAGCTAATTAACTTTGGGCTTTCTCCACAGTGTAATTAATACTGCAAATAATGTTTATTATATTGAGTCTTTTGTCCATGGCTTTTATCCAGAACAGTTTTGAGCTGTAATCTCAAAGTAAAATATCAGAGCTTGCTGACTGTAATCAGGAAGCACTTCACAAATTGCAGCACTGTAACCGATTCCCTTACATCAACTAATATTTGAACTAACATCTCATTCCCACTGAATGACATCTCCACTGCTTTTAATCAGATTTGCTATATTTAGGGCCTTGGACGTACACAGGGCTAATTCTGTAAACAGTATTTTCTTGCGGCAGCCAAGTGTCGTATGATCAAAGCCAGAGCTGATGGCGAATAGCTGCGCGCACACTGTTGATTCAGCTGTGAGATACTATTGTAGGTGTTATAGCTGTTTATTTGACCATGAATTGTTGCTGTCCTTATCTGTAGTCAGAGGATCTATTGTTCCATTATGTTCCTGCACAAGAGCCTGCTCATGGTGCGCGCACTTTGTGTTTGCCGGGATAAATCGGACACAATGGAGAAGTCAGCAACTTGTTGAAGTGCCACTGATCCGTTGATGCAGTGTGAGATACCATTCATTAGCTCTTCCCGTTGTTTTCAGGATTTTCATTTCAAGGTCATAGCTTTAACTCAGACCTCCATAAAGTGAAGTAAATATGAAATTCAAGTGTTCTTGAAACAATGCTTTTGTTTGGTGAACAACTCATTGCATTTGTGTTGGAGCATATTTGTGTGGAATCTGCAGAATCCCACTGCGGACCTTGCAGAGATGAGTCACGCTGTATCTTGCACCTTTGAAAAAAAAACAACAACTGTAGGTTGAGAAAACCAGCAAGAATAAAAGTGTAAAGATGCTGACAGATGTACTAAGAACAGATCGCAGAATACTAGGTGCAGGAAGTGTTCAGGGATCTGCTATGGATAGATTTGATGAAAATTATGTTGTGCTGCATTATTTTTTTATTTAATTTTCCAAGAACAAAACACATTTCTTGTATTTGCAAGCTACTGAAATAGCCCAAAATTATAAACATCTTTGGATTTCAGAAGAGACAATTAACATCATCATCTACAACTAAAATATATAAGCAAAATAAATCTCGGAAAAACAATAAAAACTTCATCTGAATTCCAATAATCTCTTCTCACACTATGATATTATTCACCCTTTTCATGATATTGGTTTAGTGATGGAGTAGGCGTGAGTCTGAGGAAACTCCTAAAATAACTTGTTGGGGACTTATACTCTCTTCATGATAAAGAGGAAATGGCTGATGACCACACACAACAAGGTGTGAATGTTAAAAGTAGAGTAACACTTTTCTATTGTTTGTGAGCACAGTGTACAAAAACAACAACTAAGAGTTCTTTTATTGTTTTTATTCATCTGTAATGACTTCAGCTATTACTTTTAAGCAGTCACAGTACATTTGACAATGAACTGCTCCTCATCCCAAGACACAAAGAGCTGACTTTGATGTAATCATTCACAATAAAAATAAAAGGCTCATCAATTTTGAAATGGACATTTTATTATTGTAAATGTGCGGGATAATTATCCGAGTCTATTAAAACTTCCCAGAGGGTTGGAAACACTTAACGGCGTGTGCCGTGGCACGCCGGAAAACAACTCTGTGCGAGAGGTTTGCTTGATGACTGCTGGTGTTGTCAGTCACAGTCCATGGTTTGATGATGTGTTTCTGTCGCCTTGTACCTCTGCAGGGAACGGTTTCGTTAACCCCAGGGGCTCCCCCGGCCTCCTCAGCACACCCAGCGGCAACGGCCTGGGCAAAGTCATGCCCACCAAGTCTCCACCGCCCCCCGGAGGGAACATGGGGATGGGAAACCGCAAGCCAGACCTAAGGGTTGTTATCCCTCCATCGAGCAAAGGGATGATGCCCCCACTGGTGAGTACAGAGCTACACCACTGCACACAAGAAGCATCAACAAACCAACCTTTATGTCTCTTTGCTGCGGGGCAGAGCAGATCGATGTTAAGCGTCTTTATCTAGACTCTCAAAGCTGGGTTTTGCCTACACACATTTTTTGATGTTATCACAGCAGTGCAGCTCGCTGTTCTAGCGAGGTTGTCACCTCACCAAGGACTATATTTATCTGCCAAGTGGAACTCACTCACTCACAGTGTAGAGGCCTCATCTGAGCTGCGTTCTTCTCGGAGCTGCAGCTCTAGTCTTGTAACTCTTGCTCAGTTATTCACATTTAAATGAGAGACTTTCTCTAATTATAATAATGAAGTTACAAAGCGCTCTGACCGCAGTGAACACCTGAGGCTAAACTTCTCTTGGTCATATTTCAACATTTATAAAACATTGTAAATGGGGGGTTTCAGACATTGGCCACCGATGCACTATTTCCAACTTTTCATGTTGCAGGTGTTGTCGGCAACAGGAGCCATGCCAGGAAAATGATTGTGTTTGGTAAATAAACCTCAGGTTACTGTGGGTGCTCCTCTTTTTCCAAGCCTGGATCAGTGTTTTAAAATAACTGCGTGTTACCGTGTCGCCATGTGAAATCGGTGGAGCAGCACGGGTTGCCTTGCGAGAGGTCTGAAACAGGTTAGGCAGGGGCGGGAGGACGGTTCTGCTCTGTCTGAGCCGTCAGGGCGTTTTGGTGGTGGCTATGGCAGGTCTGCAGACAGCCTGTCATTAGGCCATAATGGTATTAAATTAATCACATCTCGGTGTGACAGAGTGTAGATGAAGACTTAATCATGGGCCCAGGGTGTGAGCCAGATAATATCTTGTCGCCCTTGTCGTGTCTTCCTGCTGCTATTGATTGAGTGTGGGCATTAAGACAGCCCTGGTCTGGTTGCAGCATGTCCCACCGCACAGAAAAGATGGAGCTTTTGCTTCTTCTCTCAGTACAGGGAAGATATGAAATGCACGGCACTGTGCAGCCATTGCTGGTAGCAGTGAAGAAACTTCACCTGATTATTATGAGGTGAGGCAGTGTCACAATCAGGTGAGCATTAGTCAATGTCCTGAAGAATTTTCCAAAGACATGCAGGTAAGGCTGATTGGAAAAAACTAAAACTAAACTCACACCTACAAATAGGTTTGAGTTTGTCTGCAAGTGTCCACCCTGTGATCGAGGGTGATATAGCTAATGGGTGAATAGATGGATAATCTTTGGACAAATGGTTCTTGGGTATAACGTTCAACTACAAACACAAAATTAGAGTCCCTGTTGTTCCCTCCACTGTAAAAATGTAGATACAGTAGCTGGCACTATTTTCCAGAGTGATCTACAGTTGCTCTGCTTCTTTTCTGTAACTCTGCCTCTTCTTCTCTTCTTCTGCTGAGAGCAGTCGGAGGAGGAGGAAATGGATTTGGTGAGTTTTGACAAATGCCTGGCGCAAATGGCTGCAATGTGAACATGCTTCCGGTAATCACACACACACTAGACCAAGGGCGCTCGAACCGGAGATTGTCTCTGGGAACTGCCAGCAATAATGGCGTTACAAAAAAAAGAAAATGGTTTGTCACTGCATGTTTTGGGTTTGGCCTGTGAAAATTGCCTGAGCCTGTTAAATTGGCTCCTCCATTCCCAACACGTCACTGTTAGTCATAAACCACTAGTAGTATGTGTGTGTGTGTGTGTGTGTTTTAGTTTGGGTGTGTGAGAGAGAGAGAGAGAGAAAGAGAGAGAGATGTATGCGTCACTGTTTAATAAAAAAAAACAACTGTTATAGTCGATCACAATCTGGAAAGTTTGAGGGTTAAAGTCGTCTTGAGTAAAATACAAACCATTAACAGTATATATTTTTCCACCGAAGTGAAGATGAGATCATCTGAAATGATATCATTCTGTGAGATACTTGGGTTTGGTGAAGTCATCTGGCTGCTGAGTGTTGGAACAATGCGAGGAAGCCATCAACTAGATTATGATGCAATACAGCTTCAAATGCAGCTGCTGGCATCGGCACATATGCCTGATACATTATATTCGGAGGATTTGTTTTGGTATTGTTTTCTCTGCATTTGATTAGTGTTGGCGGGGGTGTGGGTGTGTGCGCGTGTGTGCGTTTGTAGCGGCGTATGCTGCATGACCACACCGGACTCTGTAGGTATGTTTTTGTGGGCTGCATGCCAGTCACTGCACTAAAAAAAATGACTGGAGCTCCTGCGCACCCTGGGAATTGAAATGTGTCATTAATTTTACCCCTTTGCACCTTCTCAGTTAAGAGGTGTTTATTTGATTATGAAACAGATCCCCAGACTCACTCTGATTCGTCTCACTCCTGCACTAACGCTATAAAACATCTTTTATGACTGACAAAGTAGAAACTAATTTAGCAGATTCTAACAAATGTGATTAATCATATGTCTCCTCTTGTGATTCCTGCACTGACCACGTCACTTTGCCGCTTTAAGTTGATGGAATAAATTAATCATTTCTATTAATTAGTGAAATCCACCTGTCAGTTTTTGCATTTATTCAGTTTAGCATGATGCACATCATTTTATTGAGCTGTAGGTGGATCGATAGATCAGAAAATCTCAGCAAGAAACCAAAGCATCACTTATTAATATTTATTCAGTTTTAGTCAACATTGGATTAGAAAGATTAAATATTGACTGCCATATAGCTTCACCACCCCCTTGTGGCAGCTGTCATTATTACACTCTTACATCCCAGATAACCATAATATGCAAATTTTAAATTTAGTAAAAGTTGAAAATGAATTGTGATGCTGTCTTTATTTATAAGAACACACACACACACACACACTGTTTTGTATTTGTATTCTGGGCTTATGTTTTCTTTCTTCGTTGCTTTGTGTGTTTTTTGCAGAACACCCAGAGGATAAGCAGCTCCCAGTCCACCCAGCCGCTGGCCACTCCAGTTGTGTCTGTCACCACCCCCAGCTTACCCCCACAGGGCCTGGTCTACTCAGGCATGCCCACCTCCTACAACCCCGCCGGTGAGTCTGCCTGTGCTCTCCCCTCGGACCAACAACAACCACCTCAGCTGTGACTGTTTATGCTGCACGCTGGTCCCTGCTCCTTTTTCAGTTGCACTCAGCTGAAATGCGAGCGGGTTCTCACCGTGTTTGTGGCTGCTTTTGTTTTTACAGAGTACTCCCTGAGCAGCGCAGAGATCTCTTCCCTACAGGGCTTCAGCTCTCCTGGGCTCTCATTGGGCTCCATGTCGGCATGGCAACAGCATCAACTGGGCCAGGCCGCTCTTAATTCTTTGGTGTGAGTAACACACTTCCAAACAAAAGCACACTCTCCAGACGCCCGCACATGAAAGCAACACCCACTGCGCTCTGTGATATTATGCTGAATCACACATCTACATATTACTGTCTCTTCACCTCCTATTTGTTGTCTCTTTTTTGGAACTGAACACTAAAATGCCCTGCTTGTCTCCTCTGCAGTGGCGGAGGTCACCTAACTCAGGTCTCCAACCTATCCATCAACACCAGCCAGAGCATAAACATCAAGTCTGAACCCATTTCGCCGCCGCGGGAGCGCGTCACCCCGTCCAGCTTCCCCCAGCAGCAGCCGCAGCAGGGGTCCAGCCGACAGGAAGTTCTGGGACGCTCACCTGCCGACAGCCTCAGCTCCTCCTGTAGCTCGTACGATGGAAGCGACCGCGAAGACCACCGGCCAGACTTCCACTCCCCACTGGGGCTCGGCAGACCCCCTGCTGGCTCTGAAGACAGGGAGAGCCCCTCGGTCAAGCGCTTGCGCATGGACACATGGGTGACATAAAGAGCCCCGATCACACCTCCAGTCACCAGCCAGTTAGAGAGAGAGAGAGAGGGAGGGGTTAGACATGGAGATGAAAGAAAGAGCAAGGGTCCTTTGAGCAATTATTATGATACTATTATTCAACTCCATTTTCAATTTGTGAGACTGAGATGTAATATATCTGAAGTCAATTGTCAAACTGATGCAGTAAGATTTAAAAAGAATCAAATCTCAGTGAGTTGGGCTGAATTAAATGCACAAGCGGGGGATATCAGGTACTTGGTGCAATTCAGACTTTTTGCGGAAGAAAGAAAATTGTTCATCAATAGGCAGTAGATTATCGTAGTCACTGGTCTAGTCAGACACTTACATGTAGTTGCTGTTTTGCTGTTGTGCTTGCATGTTGCAAACAATCAGAGGAAGTCGTGTTGCTTTCAGGCTGAGGACCCTTAAATACCACGTTCACTGCAAGAACTATCTTTTCAAAAAAAATCATGCTGTAACCACACAAGACCTTTATCTCAAGTGGCCTCTCGTGATTTATCGACTCAGTCGATCAGGAGACACAGACAGCATGGAGTTAACTAATACTACACAGGAGTGATGGTCACATGACAAACAGACTACTTTAGTGAATAAATGAAACCGTACCTGTTGGGGGAGGTAAAAACAAAAAAGCAACAGAATTTATTGCAATAATAACATACTTATTCATTTTATAATTTAAAAGAGTAGGATATACAGTCTAAATGTGCAATTAAGAAAACCTGTCCAGTTGAACTGGTGAGAAAATCAACATGTTCACATTTGTATAACAGTTCGTCAGTAATATAAGCCAAAGCTGTTTTCTTTTGTTATTTTGTACAGTTGCTTTGGTTTCCTAACAGGTCACTCCAAATGCACCGTTTCTTCGCCATTGTTTTTTTTTTTTTTTTAATTGTGCTTTATTACAAACAGTGTAAAGTCATGTACGCCACATCATGAATCGATATTCTAAAGCCATGAACATTTGCTTGTTCTGTTTGTATGATTGAAAATTTGAGCCAAACATTTTTCTTTTTGTTGTGTAAATAGCAACTTTAATATATATCACCAGTGTGTGGGTACATGCTGAATGTACTGTACGACCACCGTTTTCAAGAAAAGTATATTTTTGTGGATTACAGCCGAGTTTACAAGAGTAGACCCTTAAAAAAAAAGTAGATCATTCACTGGTCAATATTTGCTATTGTGTTCATTTTACTGTAATCTCTTCTAAATTTAATTATCGACATAATCTCCTGTACGTTTTAGTTTTTTTCTCTCTCTCTCTTTATTAGTGGTGACTGTTTGTCCTGAAGACATTGTAATAACAATGCTGTGAGGTTGAAGTTCTACTATTTTCATATTTATGAAGGATGATCACAAGGCTAAAGGGGAAATAGGGTTTCCTCCCCTCCTATTGTGTTAGCTCGTGTTAGTTGTATACCAGCAGCTGCGGAATACACTGCCAACATTTAAACCCAATGTCCCACATCCAAGAATGATCTACTGTTACAGCATGAGAGACGTGGCACCTCTCAGGCCTTTTCCACTGTCCTTTTACTGGCATAAGCAGAAGACATAAATGCGATGGAGGCGGCTGCTGACCTTCACACAAATCTGATCCCGTCGTTGTTGTAAATATCTCAGTCTACTTGAAATAATTATGTACAAAAATACTCATCCGTTTCCTTTAATTGGCTACTGAAAGTGGATCTCATATCAATAAGTAGTACGAGTGCTGCAGGCCTATAGGAACCTTAGGAGCTAGAAAAGTGAAAATCTGAAGGCGCTGAAGTCGTTTGCATGAAAAATGCTGCAACACAAGGTCGATGTCTCAACTGCCGCACTTTGCAGGTGGCGTGAAAAAAAGGAGACGGTGACTTGTTTCCTTCTCAGTCGTCGCAGAAGCAAATAAATTCAGCAGCTAATTCACAACAACAACAACAGTGCAACGTCATCGACTTCAATCTCACTGCACACCCGTGTATGAGACGTTTGCTGTACGAGAGCGAGGTATCACTCTGCATTCACCGCGACATGTCTTGTGTGCGTTTGTCAGGTTTCTGTTCTCTTTGCCCCATTGTCACAACATAGAAGTTCTCATTCAAAGCCCATGATGATGATCTATGCAGTTTTAACCTCAATTCCCATTATATATATCTATATACACAGAATATGATGTCATTACAGGTCACATGTAGTCCACATAGCATTAGGAAGAAGAGCACCAGAGGACAGACTGTTGAGTGGCACAGCTTGACGAGGCTGGACTTCTCGATGCACAGAACACATTTTATGAAATGATTGATTTGGATCCCCGGGGCAATCTCTTCATGTTCATGCACATTAAGTAGACATCCCATGATGCTTAGTGATTCATAATGTAAATCCAGGGGAAAATAGCAATAATAAACAACAAAACTACAACAACAAAAAAATGTGTCTGCCCGTCTTGGCAGCATCACCTCGTAGTTGAGCACATACTTTAGCACTTGATAACATATCAGGGAATTTTGTAGTTTACCTATATGCACAGTTAGGAAATGCCTTATCCCAAAGAAAAAATGACACCACTTTTATTTTCTAAACACAGAAATCACTCAAACGTGACCAGACCTGAAGACAAGAAAATGCCTTGGTGAATGCACCGCGATACGCTCGGCTCTCTTGGGTGTATGTCCAAATTCTGCACAACTAATGAATGTGAAAGGAATGGCTAACTATGTGACTTTCTTCACTTTGCTGTGCAAAAGTACACTGCTTCGCTTCATGGCTTTTATAAAAACAGAACTACGTGTTTGGTAAGTGTTTGTAGTTGATAGTTCACTTAACTAAAGAAGCTGTTTTCGGTCTGGACGCTCGGATCGTTTGGCGGCACAAGCTGGACTTTGTTGCCAATAATGAAATTATTTGTTTCGGAATTTAAAAGAGATTTTAAGTTAATCTACATTTTATTTCCCTTAAATGTGTTATTTTATTTTCATCATACGATAAATATTCAAGTGATCTTTTTATTAAAACAATTAAGATACTATGCTAGCTATTGTTGTACAAAATTTGTATTCTTCACAAAAGTACAAATATTGGCTTTCAATGTGTAATTTAGGTGATCTCTTTTATTCTGTATAAAATGAAGTAAACAACTCTTACATAGAATTTGTTCTCCTGTGAAGTCCCAAACAGTAGAAACTGTCAACTTTATTAAACACCTCAGTGTATGCTCAATCTGAACTCCATGTCTATTCATCTTTGAATTCCACTTTGAAAATGTGTTTTATTACCTGAGTTAAAACAAGGGGGCACTTTCTCTATTGTCGGTCACACAGTGATACAAGGTGAACAGAAAACCCAATGCTGTGAAAAACTATACTCAATACATTTATGATAGAAATTGTCTGTTATACCCCAGTTACAAAAAGATTTGTTGAAAAATATTGTTTTGAGCTCAGCGTAGCAGCCTCAGTTTAAGTAAAAATAGAAATACGTCTAATACTTTTAACTAAAATAAGTACTTTACCCATGCAAATGTAAATATCAAAGTTAAAACTATTCAAAACTAAATACAGAATGACCCCAGACAAGGTTTTCGTAAGTATGATTATTTTTGTTTTGTTAGTATTCATACTGGTTACTTCAAGTAGCTTTTGGATGCCATAGATGTTTCCTTTATATGAAGCCAATTTTAACTGATTAAAAAGATTACAGATATATATTTTTTCTATACCACTGCATCATATATCACAAACTCATTAAATGGTTAGGGATATAAACCAGATTTTGCAAAGTAATTAGTCAAAAGTCAAGTCAATTCAAGTTAAATACAATTAAATGTAATTAATATTATTATTAAAGAAGATGTAGCTGTATTTTATCCTTTGGCTGACTTGAAAAGTGTTAAATGAGTGTTTAAGGGTTCATCTATATAATATGGACATTTATACAGATCAAATACAAATACCATACAGTAAAACAATGTATTAATCATGTGACGATGACATTACAATTCAAAAGAGATTTGTGCACTTCCAGCGTATCACCAGCAGGAGGCACTGTAGCACCGTAAGCGACTCTGTCGGCTGCAGGTCTGTTGATGCATGTTGTTGGTTCAGGTGAGGGAAGTTGATGACGCAGGCGACGGAAACAGAAGAAGTTAGTTCAAATCATCCAGTTCAAGGTGAGTTAAAGCATTTGAATAAGAAACATCACACTGAGCTGAAGCTCCGAGACTAAAGGGTCTAATCCAAGATTTGAACAGATGCTAACTCAAAGTGGGAGTTGAGTTCAAAGGTCAGACCAGAACTTCAAACGATTCAAAATGGCGCACAGGTGAAAGTAGCTAGTGCTGGTAATGATGACCCCCCCCAAAAGACATATATATATACACACATAAGTACATTTTACAAATTCTAAATATTTACCAAAGGTGAAAGATGGTGTGAGACAAACTTACCTGTTGTAGGTCAGCTGTGTAGTTCACTTTTCCAGCATTTTTTCACCTGTGCGTACATCGGTCTGTGTGCAATGAGTTAAAGATAGAAAGAGCTCAAAACTGGTATGAGCAGAAATGTGTCAGGATTTGTCATCATATTTTGTTACTTCAGCCAAAGTGGGACTTTTTAGTTTATGTCGTTCACTTTCCTAATGCCCAAGGTGCTTAAAGGACAGACTGCCTGATGTCACCATGTTGGACATCAAGTGGATGAGAGGCAATAGAAACTGCATCAATATGAAGAAATAAAAAAAGAGCGACGCACATTCAGGCTATGTCTAGGCACCGAGCTTTGTCTGGATCGGTTCCTCCTTCCATGCTTGCTTGATTATAGATCCGCTGCCATTCGGTTTGTTTACCTTTGTCACAACACTATGAACTATGGGTAATCCCCTTCAACAGAGCCTGCAGAACTGCCGACTTACTGAGAACGAACCTCAAAGTTCTAGTCCTTGAGTTTGGATGTTTGGAGTGGGCCAGAGACTGTAAATAAATATGGACGACATGACAGCTCCCAAAAATGAAGCCAAAGCAGCCTGATGCTGGCTGGCTGGCTGGCTGCATTTTAGGTCATAAACCCCTGGCTCCTCTGTGTTAGTGGATGACTATGTTTTTCTCAAAGATGGTGTCTGTCATATTCAGTTATTGCGATCACACTGATGTATGTCAAAGGGCAAATTCCAATAAGCTTGGTTTTAATCAATTATTAGATTCTGTAGAAATGGTGAAAATGTCATTATTGACAGCTTGGACCCACTCTTGATTGATCAAGTCTGTGTAGAGGTGGGACTTTGATACTGGGCTCCATCCCGAGACAGCTACTGTGCAAACTTTGCCTGCAAATGCACAAAAGGGCTGCGTCCGTATCCAGGATATTTTGGCTTCGTTTCAGGATTTGAGGGAAGTGGAGACACGTCATCCATCTTTATGTACTGTCTACACTCTGTGTACCTGTCCCTAAGTGCATGTGCTTAGCTTCCCATCCATCAGATGCAGGCTGTAATGCAGGCTGCACCAGGTCAAGTCTGCATGTGCAGAGTAGCCACAGAGAATTTTTAAGCTGTTCAAGTTGCATGTGAAGGAGGGCGACATGCCACCTGTCATGGGGGGGCTTGCCCTGTTCCGGATCTCCAGCCCTGCTTTTCAACTGGGAGCCAAGATGCAGTGCTTTCATGAGGCCCTGATCTCCTTAAGACATCAGCAAATATTGAACGAGACTCGGTCCAATCTGAAACTCATCTGTTGTCATATAGTCTCCAGTGCTAGAAGCAGACAGGAAGAGAGAGAGAGAGAGGGAACACCAGTGGGCCTCCTGCATTAGCCTCCATGTTTGGACAGACAGCTATAGTTTATACCTTGCAAACACAAATGCTCAAGTTTGACGAGCTTAGGCTAAACCTTTTTCAACTCTCAACAAATATGCGGCTGTGTAAAAAAAAAAAGAAGCAGTTTAGAATGAAAAGGCCGGTGCAATATCTGAGCTGAAGATCGGGGGATGAGGTAAAATGAAGAGACAGCCAACATTTCATATGCCTCAGCCATGTTGCAGAATCCATCAGCAGTATATCCGGCTTGTTATGGACACATACGAAGGACGGTTGTATTGTGGAGCTAGTCCAGAAGTACATTCTCAAATACTTAACCCTCATTAGAGGAAGTGTGTATCTTAAAACAGATACACAGCATAACAAATGCAATTGAACAGTCACATATTCAAAGCTATAACAATCAGGCCGTCTAACCCACTACTGTGTGTGTTCTATGAACAACTCTTGCATCATAAGTTCAGTGATACTGTCTTGTAATGAACGGAATATTTGTCACAGGATACTTTTCCCTCTCCCACATAAGTTCTCTAAGTGACTATAGTCATCATGAAAGAACTGGGCAGGACTCAACACTCAAGCTTGTGACTGTGGCATTCTCGTAGTCATTGAAACTCATCCTGTGAGACTGGTATGGCAAGTTTCACCTGGTTTGGCCTCACCACCAATCGCACGCCTTGAAAGTGCACTCCGCATTTTGAGCTACCCTGAGACTCAGCCTGTTTTTTTTCTTCTTCATCATCATAGTTAGGATGGTTGAGCTGCCTGTTGGATAACTTGTTCTTGGTGCAAACTGAAACAGTGCGAGGCTGCTCAGCGGAGCTCGACTGAACAGGTAAAGAATTATGTTTTGTTTTTTGGACTAAATTAGCCTGAAATGATCCAGGTCAGATGTATTTAAGGTATTTATTCAGAAACATTTGTAGGATCAAACGTATTGGGCTTAATACCTGCTTTTAGTTTTTAAAGATAGTTATTTGTGTTTTCTTATGGCTGAAGACAGAAAACGGGGGGCAGGGGGGGAATCTTGTGTGACATGACATTTTTGTTGCTACATCTTAAAATATATTATATATTTCCCGTCTGTACAGAAGTAGGGTTTCAACAGATCTAATTTTGCCTTCAAGAAATTATATGTGCCTTAAACAGAACATCTAATGTAAAATAGACTATGGGAATGTATTTTTGTTAAGTAAGTGTCATTTTTAAAGATATGTTCTGTAATCAGTAGCCACCTGTAGTAGAGTTTACATTTGGCTGTTGTTTACTGTCATGAAATTGCAAATACACTTGTAACCCTCAGGAAGCTGATTTTACATTTTCTATCTTTGTGTAGGTATCACTCAAGATGGAAGTTAAGAAAAAGAACTTTCTAGAGAACTTGCGGCTGAAAACTAAGTTGCTCAATCTGAAGAAGCCCGGTAAGAAGCCTCTCGCCAAGCAGGGGAGGAGGCTGGCCAATCGCCGGAGCATTTCTGTACCAGATCTGAGGTTAGTGCCAGGTGAAACAACACAGAGCGCCATGGACTCTGATAACATCGCCTTTGGCATCTCTCCCCGTCTGAGTGACACTGATTCGGTCGCAAGTGGCTCAGTCAACGATGCACCGATTTTCACAATGGACAAACTCAATGACTCACTTCCAGAAGATACACCCAGGCGTCCTACAAATCACAGGGCGGCAGCTGTGAACAGAATAAGTGCACCAGCAGATATACTGACCTTTTATGAAGAAATTGACAACATAGTAAATTTTGAGAAAAGGGGAAACTTGTCTGAAGGTGCTTTGTATGCACAAGTGGATAGAGAATCCAAGTGGAGTGGACCGAAAATTACTTTGGACCCTGTTCCCGCACCAAGATCTATTTTTAACAACGCACGGGTTTATTCACCAAGACCAGACCGTATAGAGATAGATAGTCTCTCAGGTGAAGACACCTCAGGAGAGAGAGTACTCTCAGGTTCTCTTGCTGCAGCGATGGCCAGAGCACATTCACTGGGAGAGCAAAGGAGTCCATACACAGATAGAAGGGCCACATCATTTGAACAGAGGAAGGCATTATCTGAAAACAGGACTCCACCAGTAACCAAAAGAACAGCTCTTCCACACAGCATGTCTCTGACACTAGACACTCTGGGTGCTCCTTTGGAGAGTGCAGATGGCACCTCGCTGGACTCTGCCTGTGGCACTCCCAGCGAGGAGCGAGTCAGCACACCCTGGGTGACGGACTCAGAGGAACTGGACCGCGAACTCTGCTCTCCCATCCTGATGAGACAGGTTTCCATAGAGGAGCCTCTGCTCGAGGAAACTCAGGATGAGGAGGCCCTGGAAGAAATAGGAGAGGTCAGTTTTGTTACATGCATTTTACTACAGCTACAGTCATAGGAGAAGTATGTATATTTGTATCCAGATGTTA